ATAATGCACCATTCTAAAAGATCTGATCGTCGGTTCTGCAACACCTCTTGGAGGAAATGAATGTTGTGCTGCAGATAAAAAGAGAGAAAATTATGTAAAGAAAAACAAAAACATGACTTTTGTTTATCGATAACAATATAACACAATCAACCTAGTAATGTAACAATAATACCTCTATAAACTTTAGCTTATAGTCGAGATCTCCAAATCTCTGAGTGACCTCATACTCTTCTCTTAGGTACTCGTATATCTGAGCATATCTAGCCTCTCTCCATGCAATCTCGGATCTATGAGAACAAAAGAGAACATATGAGTCTTATTTATATACAATCATTGTTTCCACGAGATTTCAAGAGTAAGCATACTTCCAAAATCATTTTCAAGAACTCAGATTTTTGTATATGAGTAAAAGCATACACATATATAGAGATCATAGAAAACAACATAAGAATGTGAAAATGATTTAACATTAATAGAATACCTCTCAAACAAACCAACTTTGAGAATCACATCGCCTAGATTAGAATTTGCCTTCCCTACAAGTTGGAAGAGCTTTTTCCTGGTCATTGTGAAAGTTCCTGTTTTCGCCATTGCACGGTTTATATCAGCAAACTCTTCCACCAACTTGTTAACCTGAGATAAATACAAATCTCAAATCTAACCATATACTTGTATTGGTTGAGAACACTGAGAAGGAACAAGTTACCTGAGAAACAAAGTAATCCAATGCAATACTTTGCCCGAGCACACTCCCAATTATACGTATGCTATTAGTATCCAAAGTTTTGAGAACGATGTAGTCATGGCCACCTTTCATTTCCTCAGTCAACAAAGGCTTCTCCTTCACAGCATAATCTAACACAACAAAGTCCACAAAAGATCAGTTCATTTGCAAACTCAAAGCTAAGTAGTAAAGACAGGACCAACACTAACCATCTTTTCTCATTTCCGTAAGCAATCCAGAAGCATGTCTACGAACAATGTCGAGATAACGGTCAACATCATTGTCATCAACATTGAAAAGAATAGCAGAACCGTATTGAAAGACAACCATGAAGCGGCAGTTGCTTACACTCTCCCTCTCGTCCATAGTCTGCAAAGCAAGTAACACAAGATCAACATAAGGTAATCAAAGGAACGTCATTTGCAATTCCACTGAGTAAAACTTACATGGATTCCAGAAGGTGTAAAATCCGAAAATTTGAGGGCAATAGAATTAGTAGAACGTGAAGTAGGAGGAACAACATTGCATAAGTTCTCAGCTTGCATTGCCTTCAAATCAATACTGCCAAAACCATAAATCTGAGAAACCAAATTACAAATGAAAACACAAAAAAACTTCAACTTTGAAACTATAAAGATTCCAAACTCAAAACTTTATCAAGTGAGTCCCAATACAATAAGCAAAAACATACCCAGTACTGAGAAAGTAGGCTTTGATAGGGATTTTTCCTAGTTCTTCTTCTTCATGTGTTCCAAATTCATAGTTTTGATACGCATCAGTAGACCCAGAATCAGAATCATTGTTGTAAATCGAAATCGGAGATGGGAACGCTGAAAAGTGTCGGAAATCGAGAAAGCGAGAAGCTAAACCAATCGCTGGGTGGTGTTTCGAAACATATGGAGAAGAAAGGTTTAGTCTTTTTGAAGAATTGAGTAATTGATTACGGAGAAGAAGAGCAGCTACTGCTCTCCATTTACCCATTCAAAGAAATCAAAATTGAAGTAATTTTCCTCTGCCCCAAAATCCCTCGAGTCAATTTTGTTTTGATCCCAAAATCAAAGATGGTTTTTGATTTCCAAAGATATGGTTACGAAGAAGCCTTGGTTCTCGCCGCCGGTGACCACAGTTCCCTAATCAAATTAGCGTATTTATGTTTCAAAACGACCGTGTTTTGTTTTATTAATGAAACGATTATCGGTTTATTTGTTTATTTAAAACATTAAACCCATATTGTAAAAAGAAAAGGGAGACTCACAAAAATGCCCCTTTTTCAATACCCCTTTTCAAAAATGCCCCCTATGGATGTCCATTTTTAAAAATACCCCTTTTATGTACAAAATGACTAAATTACCCTTCTTTTAATAAAAGATATTATAAATATATAAGGAAATATAACAAAATTAGGTCCACAAAATACAAAATATTTTTTGGCGGGAAAAGTGATCCCCCAATTTTTCCCGCCAAAACACTTGTAAAAATTTGTAAAACCTTTAAAATACCTTGTAAAATTTTCCCGTAAAATTTTTTCCCGCCAAAAAATTTTTTTTGCGGGAAAAGTGATTCCGCAATTTTTTTGGCGTTAAATTTTTGGCGAGAAAATTTTTCCCGCCAAAAATTTACAAGGTATTTTAAAGGTTTTTTACAAGGTATTTATAAGGTTTTACAATGTATTTTAAAAGGTTTTACAACGTATCTACAAGGTACTTATGAGATATTATGAGAGTTTACGAGCTTATTCCATAACGCTAGTACAAGTTATGAGTT